TTGTTTTTTTATTTTTTTTAAATATTTATTTATTTATTTATACAAGCACTGGGTACAGTCAGAAGCGCGGGACGGTGAGAGAATTCACCAGAGCCAGAGCGGGGAACAGAACAGGCAGAAGGACCGAAGTACACTGCTGAGGGGAGCAGCGGGCGGCAGGGGAGGTCTGCGCGCCACGCGGGACCCTCCTCAGGTGGCCGGGGAGCAGCCGGGATCGAACCAGCGATGCAGAGGCTGTGGGCAGCTTCGCAACCCAGCGCTCAACCGCTGCGCCACCGGGAAGGCCCTGCGCTCTCTTTTTAAAGGCAAGTGACATTTTTATGGTGGAGAATAGTAATTGCTTACCGTGACATGCAAACCTTCAATATCTATATTTTAATGTTTTTTCCAAATTAACATATTTTAATGTTTGTGAAAGCAAAGTATTACAGATTATGCATTGGAATAGAAATTTTTTAAGTTGTCCTAAATAAAGAGTGCTTTATTTTCCCCTACTAATTTAAGGAGTGGAGTATCTGAAGTAATTACGTCTATATGTCATGGATTTCCAGACATGTAAACCCTTATATTCTTATAGGTAATTCAGTCTAACTTTGGGAAATAATTACAAGACAAATATAAAATAATTCTCTATTTCCACAGAACTGGGAGAAGTCATCAATGATCATGTTTTAGAATAGATTATGGAGTCAACTTCAATCTTAATTTCAAAGTTTCCTGGAATGTCAGTGATTACTTGAAACTTGACACTGTATCCTATCAAATTAAATAACACTAATTGTTTTCTTTACAGCTAAAGGTGAGAGAAGAGACCCTCCACAGAAGTTCTTAAGTATATTTTCCTAAATCATCTACCACATCTAGATTTATTTCTAGTTTGAAAGGTTGGAGAACAGAGCCATAAATAACAAGGAGTTGGGGGAAAATTTATTTCCCTTGTTTTGTACTCTGTCTTATAATCCCTCTTGGCCAGAAAGCATAAACTTTCCAAATATTAATAATTTGACATTATATATAAGGAAATTAAAGTCTTTGAGGAGATAAGCACTAAGGATGTCAAAATTTTCTCATTGAATGAATTAAAAATGCTTTAGTAGGTTTGGAAATGATGATAACCAAAGTTTGAAGCTTTATCAGAAATGATCTTTAAGTGCAGCCTCTACAAATCTGTGATCTGAAAACCAGCCCTTCGATGGGGGCTGGCCTGTCATGTAAACAGAAGGCACAGAGAGTGAATGTGGGCTCTTGGTTGTTTCTCCAAGAATATTTTTGCTTTTCTCATTAGCTTACCTTTACAAAATTAGTGTCAGCTATAGGAATGTTTTCAAAGTAAGATTGTCACAATGAGGCATTGGAAATAACTATAATAACACATTTCAGACTGGAAAGCCAGCCATAAGAATCAGTAATGATCCACAGTAACCGATCAAGGACCCTCACCCAAAGAGCCGAGTCAATGACCATGAGAGTACCCTCATGAAGAAGTGTTCCAATGACCATTGGTTAATTATGAGAAAGTGAAAGTTATATCATCCATGTAACCAATATATGACTCCTATAGATGTTAGAGCAAAACTTAGACCCAGTGGAAACTCATGGTGAGAAGTTAATAACTACTACTTCCATCTTAAGTGCAAACACTTAAAGAAAAAATCAATTGCAATAGAAATTAAAGGAAAAATTGAACTCACAGGAACCAAAGGGGTGTCTTCTATAGGAAACCTGGAATCATCTGAAACGCACAAGGGCTCGCTTTTCTCACAGCTCTCCTGGCTGATGAGCGTGTCCACATAGTTGGGCTGCGGGAAGATCAGGTGACTCTTCCTTGAGTCTGCGGTGAGGGAGACCTCATGCGAATAGGTCTGCAGGAAAGCCTGCACCCCATCCACGCCCACAAAATGTGAGGTGGGCAAGCCAGCCAATCCGACTCCTGCAGCCTGGATCAAACGAGAGGTGTGCCAGCGCCTGAGCCTGAGCGCCAGCAGCACGATGATAAAGGCGAGAAAGACGCAGGAGACCACGGCCACTGCCACCACCAGGTACAAGGTAAGGTCAGAATCCTCAGAGTCCGCGGGGGTGCTGATGCTGCCCAGGTCAGCCAGGACATCTGGGATACTGTTGGCCACGGCCACGGTAAGTGTGACAGTGGCCGAGAGTGGGGGCTGGCCGTGGTCCTGGACCACCACCACCAGGCTCTGCTTGAGTGTATCTCTGTCCAGCAGGGCCCGCGCGGTGCGCACCTCGCCCGTGTGCAGCCCCACTGAGAAAAGCCCTGGCTCGCTGGCCTTGAGCAGGCGGTAGGTCAGCCAGGCGTTCTGGCCTGAGTCTCTGTCCACTGCCACCACCTTGGTCACCAGGTAGCCAGGCTCCGCAGAGCGGGGTGCCAGCTCCACGCCTGTGGAACCATCTGTGGGGAAGGCAGGGTACAGGATCTCTGGTGTGTTGTCATTTTGGTCAAGCACGAATAGGTTCAGTGACACATTGCTGCTGAGTGGAGGGTCCCCACTGTCTCTTGCCCACACCTGCATTTGAAGATCCCTAAACTGCTCGTAGTCGAAGGAGCAAAGAGCATATAACACTCCAGTGTTAGAGTTGATGGAGACATAGGAGGAGAGAGGTGCCCCCATGACGGTGTCATCAGTCAAGGAATAAATAACCCTGGCATTCTCATTGCTATCAGGGTCATGGGCTGTCACTGAGAAGATGGAGGTGCCCCTCAAGTTGTTCTCAGGAAGATAGACTGAGTAGGAGGCTTGAGAGAAAGAGGGTGGATTGTCGTTTATGTCAACCACCTGCAGGTTGATGTGAATTTCTGTTGACAGGGGTGGTGTTCCTCTGTCAGTTGCAGTCATTGTGATGTTATATTCAGAGGTTTTTTCTCGGTCAAGAATTTGAGTTGTCAACAACCTATAATAATCTTCTATTGACTTTTCTATTCGAAAAGGTAGAATGTCCTGGATGGAACAGACAACTTGACCATTTTTCTCAGAGTCTTGGTCATGAGCATTGAAGAGAGCAATTACTGTTCCCTGAGGAGCATCTTCGCTCACAGGGCTAAACAGAGATGTAATGGTCACTTCAGGTCTGTTGTCATTTACATCCTCCACTGAAATGAGCACTTTGGTCCTCCCCTTCAAACCCCCACCATCTTCAGCTTGTATTTCCATTTCATAAAATGCACATTCCTCATAATCTAGATTCCCCGTGGTTGATATTTCCCCAGTATCTCCATTAAGCTGGAACAACGGAGACTGTTTTTCACTAATCTTCCAGAATTTATATGCCACTGCTCCATTGGCTCCCTCATCCGGGTCGCTGGCTTTTACAGTAAGCAGCCTGGTGCCTGGGGGCACGTTCTCTGGGACTTTCGCTCGGTAAATCGGTTGCGCAAAAGCCGGGGCATTGTCATTCGTATCCAACACTGTCACTTGGATGCGCACTGTGCTGGAGCGACGGGGGTCGCCGCCATCAAAGGCGATGAGGACCAAGTTGTGAGCAGCCTCCTCCTCTCGGTCCAGGGTGTGCTCCAGCACCAGCTCTGGGCTTATAGATCCTTGGTGGTCTCCAGCTTGCGCATACAAGGAGAAGTGGCGGTTGGGGCTGAGCTGGTAGCTCTGGAGGGAATTCATGCCCACATCCGGGTCCACAGCCTCTGGGAGTGGGTATCGTGTTCCAGGGGCAGCAATTTCGTTAATTTTTACTTCAAGAATTTCTGCCTGAAATTTGGGGGCATTGTCATTCATATCAGTTATTTCTACTTCTATTCCGTAAAGTTGTACTCTGTCCTCAACTAGGACTTTAAAGTTCACCACACATCTCAAGCTCTGAGCGCAGAGCTCCTCCCTGTCTATCCTTCCCGCGGTGACCAAGCTGCCACTTTGGGAGTTCAGAGCAAAGAGTTGAGTCCTACCTCTGGAGATGATGCGGACTCTCTGCTTCGCCAGCTCCTGGGGCTCCAGTCCCAGATCCTTGGAGATATTCCCCACTATATAGCCCTTTGCTGTCTCTTCAGGCACTGAGTAGTGGATCTGGCTGGCCCTGGTCTCCCACAGCCTCTCCAGGAAAAGGCACAGCAGGACCAGACCTCTGTGCTGCCGGCGATTCACTGGAACGGCCATTGTAGCGTCACTATGGGATTTTTTTCCAGAACGCTTTCTGTCTCGCTGGCTCCTAAGGTTCCTTTTCCCTCCAGCAAAATATGGTGATCCTTTTTCTTAAGAGAACCCGCAGTGCCCCGCATTAAGAGGCTGAGTTTTGATGCAGCCCGGGAGTCGGCTTGTGGGATCTGCGGTGCTTTGTGTAATTGCAGATCCTAATATCCAAACGGAGCGGGATTGAGCTTTTGTTAGAGTTGGTGAACAGCGGCGCTCAGAGTCCTAAGCAGTTACTACACCCACTGAGATACGCAATTCTTGATTATGGGTGATTGAATGAAGAGGAAAACACCTCTGTCTTCTAACGTGATTTTAGATTTCTCTAATTGTTTCCTGCATTCATATAGCAAAAGCAGTTTCCATTTGTGAACATCTTTGTTGGAAAAGGTATGGAATGAAGTTTCTGTTAAGTGTATTACATTCCTCTCCCACTGTTACTATTTTTACTATCAAATTAATTTAATCTTACGGACTTTTGCTCATTTTCTCTCTAGGCATGTAAATGACTCTCATTTCTTTGTCAAAGTGTTTCAGATTTTTTTCTATATGTAATTACTATTTACAACGTGCAACCCTCTTTGGAAATGCATTAATATATTTCTAAATTATATACATGTGTGCTTATGTATGCATATTACATAGTTTTAATAAATTAATATTTATGGATTATTCATTGAATTTATTTTATAAGATTAATTAGTATTGATTGTGAAATTCCTGGAGTATGGTTTTCTTAAAATTTTGTTTACAAAAATAATTTAAAAATTAGGCAATAAGAATACATTTTCTCACCTACTATTGCTAATTTTTAAAAGAATTTTTAAAAAATTTTACATATTTGTGATTATTAAACTTTCATATATTAGTTTATAAGTTTTTATGTGAATAATGTATTTGCAAAGTATGGCATTTGGAAAGTTCAAATGAACAAACTGTACATTGAAAAGTAGGTTTCCATTTCAAACCTTCCATCAAGAAATTATACAACTTTAAGATAGTTTTAAAACTTATTTTGGGGCCCCCCTGGGTGCAAGGAGTTAAGACGCAACCTATCAAGCTATCCACAGCCACTGCAGCATGAGTTTGATCCCAGTCCAGGGAGCTACCCACATGGCGCTGCAGTCCTCCTCTATCTCTCCCACTGCTCCCCTCGGCAGTGTATTTCAGTCAATCTGCCCATTCTGTTCCCCACTCTCTCTGGTGAATATTCTCTCACCCCCCACACCTCTGGCCTGTACCCCAGTTCTTGTATAATAAATAAATAAATCTTTTAAAAAACCTTATTCTGATGGTCACTTAAACTTATGCAATAATTTTGGAAAAGGAACACAAGCTGTAGAAGAAATTATTGCCACTAAAAATTAGGTGCAGTTATAAGACATTTCAACCGTTTGTAAACAATTCACTTAAGCACTTCCAAAGGGAAACCAAGCAAAAAACTGATACTTATGTAATGCCATGCAATTAGTAGTTTTGTCTTGTAATGGAGAATTCAGGATTCTCCTTCCTTCTAAAGGATGACAAGGATGATGAGAAAACCTGTAGTCACTAATGTTTAGAGCTCCAAATCATAAGACAAATCCAGTGACTTTCCTCTCATTCTTCATTAAAAATATAGGTCCAAAATGAAAGCAAGTGGAAGTGGCATTGGTTTTCATTTCCTATTACCAAGTCTCTTCTGGTAACTATAAAGAACAGGAGAATGGTACATTCAAAAAAACTTGAAGGAACTTCATGATTTGACATTCTGATGAGACCACTGAGTGGCTCACTCACTCACACACACAACACACAGATTATTTTTTCTAATTATTTTAAGAGATTCAGAGAATCACAAATAGGTAGATATAAGAAATTAGACATTGGGCCTCCCTGATGGCACAGGGGTTAAAGATATAACACCATCAAGCTATCTGCAGCCACTGAAGCACGAATTCAATCCCTGGCCAGGGAACTACCCACATGGTGCAGCAGACCTCTCCTGTCTTGCCTGCTGCTCCCCTCAGCAGTGTATTTCAGTCAGTCTGCCTGTTCTGCTCCCTACTCTGTCTAGTGAATCCTCACACCTCCCATACCTGTAGCCTACACCCCAGTTCTTCTATGCACAAATGAATCCTAAAAAAAAAAAACAGAAATTAGACATGATCAATAAACACAAGAAAGGGATGGAAATGGCATTAGTGATAACAGTGAATGTAAATACCTAGTAGTAATTTCTTTGTTCTGATATATTAACTTAATGCTTATGTACACACAAAAATTTAAATAATGAAACCATTAAAGAGTAAATTTCACTATCACTGAAAAAAGGTAAGAAATTGGTAGAATACCTTTGTAAGAACAGGCTCTCACTACTTTGAAAATCCAAACATGGTAGGATAACTATTTTATGTCATGTAACTAACTGCTCTTAATTCACCGCTCTCCATGAAGAAAGGAATTACAATTTTCTGATAAGCTTTAATATGCCTAAGACAACTTACTTGGAAATGTAACATGTTTCATATAAATATGGAATTGGGAGGATGATGAAAAAAGGTCCACACATAAGTGAAACTTACCTCCATTAGAGTCTCAGGATGGGAAGTCGACTCGCTGGCATTACAAAGTGGAAATAAGGCCCCAGATGAATCACCACAAAGTATATCCTGTCCTGAACTCAACTGCTCATTACATTTTAAAAAATTAAACTCTGTCTTTCCAGTGTGGGCAACGCACAAATTGTAGGAATAAGGCAAAGTCCCTTCCATGTAGTTGGGGGGAACCACTGATGGTCCAGACTTGACACAGAGACCAGGCCTAAAGCAGCCCCAGGCAGAGGGGCTGGAGGAGTGTCGCAGGCGCAGGGCAATGGCCAGAATCACCGCCAGGAGGAAGAGCACAGAGATCAAGGCCAAGGCCAGCACCAAGTAAAACTGCAGCTCAGCCTGGGGGTCAGAGGGCTCAGGTTGGTCACTGAGGTCTGGCAGGGCCTCCTGCAGGCTGTCAGCGAAGACCAGGTGCAGCGTGGCGGTGGCCGAGAGCGCAGGCTGGCCCCCGTCGCGCACGGCCACCAGCAGGCGCTGTCTGGCCGCGTCCCTGTCGCCCAGCGCCCGCGCGGTGCGCACCTCGCCCGTCCGCAGCCCCAGGCTGAAGAGGCCCGGCTCGCTGGCCTGCAGCACGTGGTAGGACAGCCAGGCGTTGTGTCCAGAGTCAGCGTCCACCGCCACCACCTTGGTGACCAGGTAGCCGGGCTGCGCGGCGCGCGGCACCGTGTCGAAGAGCGCAGAGCCGTCGGGCCCCAGCGCGGGGTACAGCACCCTGGGCGCGTTGTCGTTGCGGTCGCCCACCAGCACGCGCAGGCTCGCGTTGGCGCTCAGCGGGGGCGCGCCCTGGTCGCGCGCCTGCACAGTCAGCTCGAAGGTGCGCAGCTGCTCGTGGTCGAAGGCGCGCTGCGCGAACACCACCCCGCTCTGCGCGTTCACGGACACGTAGGACGACAGCGCCTGGGGGCTCAGGTCGCTGCCCACGATGGAGTAGGAGACATGGCCATTCTGTCCCAGATCCCTATCGGAGGCACTGACTTGGGCGATAGATGCTCCAGGAGAGTTATTCTCCATCACGTGGACCAAGTAAAAGGCCTGCTGGAAAACTGGGGCATTGTCATTGACGTCAGTGATGTGCAAAGTGACACTTTTGCTGGAGGAGAGGGGTGGCTTACCCCTGTCTGTGGCTATGATGGTGATATTATACTCTGGGGTCTGCTCTCTGTCCAGAGTCCCTTCTACTACCAACTTATATGAATTTTTGGATGAAGAGATTATCTGAAAAGGGACTTCACCCTCCAATCGACAGTTTACCTCCCCGTTTTCTCCAGCATCTTGGTCGTGTGTTTTGATCAAAGCAATTATTGTTCCTGACACTGCGTTTTCCACAATCATTTCAAGTAGAGAATGGAATGTAATTTCTGGGCTGTTGTCATTTTCATCTTGAATGCTAATTTCAACTGTACACTGTGCAACCAGTCCTCCGCCATCCCTGCCTTCCACCACGAGAGAATATTCCTTAATTTCTTCGAAATCTATTGTCCTTAGAGTTGTAATTACCCCACTTTTTGAATTCAAACCAAAGGTGTGCCTGGTTCTGTGGAAGGAGTAAGTGATTTCCGAGTTGATGCCCTCATCCTTGTCGGTGGCTGACACTTGCATGACCGTGGTACCCGGGGGCACGTTTTCTGGAAGACTGACTCTGTATACTTCCTGGTTGAATACAGGGGCGTTATCATTGGCATCGGTGACCTGGATCTGCAGCTCAGTGGTGCCACTTAGGGGTGGTTCACCACCATCCAAGGCAGTCAGGACTAAATGATAGTAACTCTGTTGTTCCCTATCTAAGGGTTTCTCCAATACCAGTTCTGGGTATTTACTACCATCTTGTTTCTTCTTATTGATCAACGAGAAACTAGGACTAAGAGAAAGTTTATAATTCTGCAGAGAGTTTAAGCCTATATCGGCATCTTCTGCTACTTCTAATATAAATCGCGTGCCTGGCAGTGTAGACTCACTTATTTGCAGCTCAAAGGAATTTTGTGTGAATTTTGGCGTGTGGTCATTGATATCCTCGATCTCCACGTTCACGTGGTAAAAATTTAACGGATTTTCAGCAACAGCCTCAAACTCCAGAGCGCACGCTGGCTGCTTCCCGCAAATCTGCTCGCGGTCCAGCCGGCTGCTCACGAGCAGCTCCCCGCTCTCTGCGCTCACAGCGAAGTAAGGCTTCTCCGGACTGACGCGCAGCTTTCGAGTCGGTAACTCTTGGACACTGAGTCCCAGGTCCTTGGCGAGGTTCCCCACCACCGAGCCCTGGGGCAGTTCCTCGGGAATCCTGTAGCCAACCGGCTCAGAGAGCGCCCGACAGAACAAAGACAGCAGCAAGGGAAAGAGCGCCGGCCGCCGCTCAGCCCAGCTCTTCTCCCCAGCGCCTCTCCCCAGCCCGCTTGCTCCCCTCATCCCGCTCACCTGCCTGGAGACTCCAGAGTACAAGGAACCCCTGGAGCAGGTGTCCGGAGCCCCGAACAGGCTTCCTCTCCTACGTGGGGGTCAGGCTCGCTTCTTTTCCAGAGGAGGCAGCGGCGGAAAGACTCGCGCTGGCGTCTCAGAGGGAGACAGCTCTGCGGCTGTGCGCCGAGATCGCCCGCGCCAAGCTGCTCGCTTTGGCCAACAGCGGCGCCCAGAGCCCGCGCTAGCAAACTGCAGCCTCTGCTGCTTTGGTTTAAGAAGCTGCAATCATAATTCTGTGTCTAGCAGAGCAAGCCATGTTTTTATATTAATATATTTAATCTTAAATTATAAAACCTTCCTTCCTCAAGGTATTATTTTCTTGTTTCCAACTATTAGGAATATCATGTCGGTCTTCTTACACAAACCTACATATATTGTTGCATTCATTTCACTGTTCCACAAACATACATTGTGCAAAGTACTGTCTTTGCCACTGGCAATGTGACAATGGAAAAGATAAACACAGAAAGTTTGTTTTTCGCTTATCTACTGACTTCACATGCTCATTTGTCTTTTTATGAATGTTATATTATTTTAAACTTCTTTAATTGATTCCCATGTTTTCCCAACATTTCTACCTAACCAATGCTATTTCATATCACATATATTAGAGACATCAGTGCTGTTGAAAATTGTTTTGTTTGGCTGCACAATTTTGTATCAATCCGCAAACATTTATTCCCCCGGATAATATCAATGACAGTAATTTCCTTTTACTCCCTGACAACTTCTCAACTACAGTTTTTTAAAAAAGATTTATTTATTTAGGCATACAAGAACTGGGGTACAGACCAGAGGTGTGTGGGGGGGTGAGAGGACCCACCAGAGACAGAGCGGGGAACAGAACAAGCAGATCGACTGAAATACACTGCTGAGGGGAGCAGTGGGTGAGACAGGAGAGATCTGCAGCGCCATGTGGGTTGCTCCCTGACCGCTGGGGATCAAACTCATGCTGCAGAGGCCCCGAATTGCCCCATAGTATGGGGCTTAACCCCTTGCACCACCAGGGAGGCCGTACTACAGTTTTCTTAATGAATACTTTGAAGTTGTATTTACTGTATTCACTTCATATGTCAAATTTACTGGCTTATGTCATTCCCAATATAGTACAGAAGTTAACTCTTAAAAGTTACTAGAAAATTGTCTGTTCTTCAATACAAAGTAGCAAAGGGGTCATTCCAGTAGATTACATTACTTCGTTATTTCTGTACCTGTTATTCTGAGTAATGATTTTGAAATAGGAATGTGAGCAGTGATAAGTTTATTTCCATAAATTTACTGAATAGTTTTAGTCAGACATTTGTTTTAATTCTATTACTCCATTTGTTAAAATTGTTTTTGACAAATTAGCGAATGTTTTGAAAAGAGTAAGAATTTTCTTTTCTATCAGAGCTCTTAAAAATTGCAAAGTATCAATAGTACAGTTAGCCTCTTGAAAGACAGCATCCAAACACTAAAGAAAATATGAAGTGACTTGCACCCATTGTTATGTAAATACAAGGGAATACTACACAATTCTTGGGAAACATCCTTTATTACTAACAAATGATTTATCATGTTTCCCACTTCTATCTGATGACAAATCAGTGATTAACTTTATTATAATGCTTTAACAAGGACTACAGAAGACATATAGTCCACACAGAATCATTTCTAATGGATCAGTTTAGAATTTGTGTAAATGGAATGTCTTCTTAAAACCAACACCCTCAATCTCTTATCATGAAAACACAGCACATTTCATGGCTGCAAAGCAACATATTGGAACTCTACTGAAACATGTTCTTCTGTGTTTACAACAACCAATTCAACAGTTTCAAATAACATTTTATCTCAAATCTCATTTTGTTGTTTTTGGTATTCTGGAGGGGGCAATAGTCATTTTAACCTTTAGATTCCATGTCTTCATTGGAATGAGCTCTGGGTAACTGCTGATACACAAACTCAACATTCATGGACCAGTTCCACCAGGATACACCCTTTAAAATTTATTTTCTTGGGGGCTTCCCTGGTGGCCAAAGGATTAAGATGCAGCACTGTGAAGCTATCTGCAGCCACTGCAGCATGAGTTCGATCCCTGGCCAGGGAGGTGACACACATGGCACAGCAGACCTCTCCTGTCTTGACTGCTGCTCCCCTCAGCAGTGTATTTCAGTCAGTCTTCCTGTTCTGTTCCCCATTCTGTCTCTGGTGGGTCCTCTCACCCCCCCCACACCTCTGGTCTGTACCCCAGTTCTTGTATGCATAAATAAATAAATCTTCAAAAAATTTATCTTCTTAAGTATGGTAAGAATTATAAAAATTTTGAAGTGTACTAATGTAGGCACAATGCTCAGAGAAGAGTTTTAAAATGAAGTCTTCTAAAGTCTTTTAGCTTCAAGCCCTAAATGGTCCTAAAAATTCTAAGATGTATCTTAATTTTTTAAAGATTTATTTATTTATTTATGCATACAAGAACTGGGGTGGAGGCCAGAGGTGTGGGGGGGTGGTGAGAGGATTCACTAGATACAGAGTGGGGAGCAGAACAGGTAGGTCAACTGAAATACAATGCTGAGCGGAGTAACAGGCAAGACAGGAGAGATCTGCTGCACCATGTGGGTCAGCTCCCTGGCTGGGTATCCAGCTCATGCAGCAATGGCTGACAATAGATTGAGAGCACTAAGACTTTAACCCCTGCACCACCAGGAAGGCCCTGTATTTTACTTCTATTGGGCTAATACAAGATTCAGAAGTCTCAATTTTTCTCAGTTCTAAATATCTACCTGTCTGCATGTATATATGAGAGCAAACTTACCATGTATGGTTGGGTAACTCCTTAGGTGAATAAGTGTTAAATGATGAGTTATAGTAAACACAAAAGGATTAAAAGGTTGAATCACATTTAAACAGGCTTGTCCAAGTTTTGGAAAACAAACTATATGGTGATTAGAGTTCAAATTTGAGTGTCACCACTAAAACATACCCAAAAGTTTGTGGTATACCTTTCAAAATATTTTAAGCTTTTTTTCACAATATGTTTCAAATAACATACATAAAACTTACAAGACAAACTTAATGCCCCTCAGGAATAAAGAACTGAACTCACCTGAACAGAAGCAGCTTCATCTGTACATTCATGGAAATCTATGGATGTTAACAAGGAATCATTTTTCTCACAGCTCTCCTGGCTGATGAGCGTGTCCGCATAGTTGGGCTGCGGGAAGATCAGATGACTCTTCCTTGAGTCTGCGGTGAGGGAGACCTCATGCGAATAGGTCTGCAGGAAAGCCTGTACTCCTTCAACACCAACGAAGCTTGAGGCCTGTAACCCTACCAACCCTCCACCTGATGTCTGGAGCAGACTTGACTTGTGACACCGCCACAGTCTGAGTGCCAGCAGTGTGATGACAAAGGCAAGGAAGACGCAGGAGACCACAGCTACCGCCACTACCAGGTACAGAGTGAGATCTGAATCATCAGAGTTGATGTGTGTCCTGATACTGTCCATGTCGGCCAGTATGTCTGGGATGCTGTCAGCCACGGCCACGGTGAGCGTGACTGTGGCCGAGAGGGGGGGCTGGCCGTGATCCTGGACCACCACCACCAGGCTCTGCTTGAGCGCATCTCTGTCCAGCAGGGCCCGCGCAGTGCGCACCTCGCCCGTGTGCAGCCCCACTGAGAAGAGCCCTGGCTCACTGGCCTTGAGCAGGCGGTAGGACAGCCAGGCGTTCTGGCCTGAGTCTCTGTCCACCGCCACCACCTTGGTCACCAGGTAGCCAGGCTCTGCAGAGCGGGGTGCCAGCTCCACGCCAGTTGAGCCATCTTTGGGGAGGGAAGGGTACAGGATCTCAGGCATGTTGTCATTCTGGTCCAGAATAAACAGGCTTAGTGACACATTGCTACTGAGTGGAGGATCCCCGCTGTCGCTGGCTGTCACCAGCAGCTTCAAGACTCGGACCTGCTCGTAATCAAAGGAGCGCAGTGCATACAGCACACCGGTATCAGAGTTGATGGAGACACAGGAGGAGAGAGATGCCTCCATGATGGTGTCCTCGGTCAGAGAGTATGTGATCTGGGCGTTGTTGCCACTGTCAGGGTCATGGGCAGTCACTGAGAAGATGGAAGCACCTCTGAGGTTGTTCTCTGGGATATAGGCTGAGTAGGAGGCATGAGTGAAAGAAGGTGGATTGTCATTAGTGTCTGCCACATGCAAAGTGATATACGTTTCAGTAGACAGAGATGGGGTTCCTAGATCTGAGGCCATCACTGTGATATTGTACAGAGAGATCTTTTCTCTGTCCAAATATTTCCATGTCAGCAACCTATAATAATTATCTATCGACTTTTCTAATTGAAAAGGCATATCATTGCCTATATAACAGACAACTTGACCATTCTTCCCAGAGTCTCTGTCATGCACATTCAAGAAGGCAATTACTGAACCAGGAAGAGTATTTTCCAAGACAGGGCTAAACAGAGATGTAATGGTCACTTCAGGTCTGTTGTCATTTACATCCTCCACTGAAATGAGCACTTTGGTCCTCCCTATAAGTCCCCCCACATCTTCAGCTTGTATTTCCATTTCATAAAATGCACATTCCTCATAATCTAGATTCCCCGTGGTTGATATTTCCCCAGTATCTCCATTAAGCTGGAACAACGGAGACTGTTTTTCACTAATCTTCCAGAATTTATATGCCACTGCTCCATTGGCTCCCTCATCCGGGTCGCTGGCTTTTACAGTAAGCAGCCTGGTGCCTGGGGGCACGTTCTCTGGGACTTTCGCTCGGTAAATCGGTTGCGCAAAAGCCGGGGCATTGTCATTCGTATCCAACACTGTCACTTGGATGCGCACTGTGCTGGAGCGACGGGGGTCGCCGCCATCAAAGGCGATGAGGACCAAGTTGTGAGCAGCCTCCTCCTCTCGGTCCAGGGTGTGCTCCAGCACCAGCTCTGGGCTTATAGATCCTTGGTGGTCTCCAGCTTGCGCATACAAGGAGAAGTGGCGGTTGGGGCTGAGCTGGTAGCTCTGGAGGGAATTCATGCCCACGTCCGGGTCCACAGCCTCTGGGAGTGGGTATCGTGTTCCAGGGGCAGCAATTTCGTTAATTTTTACTTCCAACACTTCGACCTGGAATTTTGGGTTATTATCATTTATATCTATGATTTCTATTACTATTCCAAAGAGTTTCCCTCTATCCTCAACAAGGATGTTAATATTTAAAAGACATCTCAAGCTCTGAGCGCAGAGCTCCTCCCTGTCTATCCTGCCCGCGGTGACCAAGCTGCCGCTTGGCGCGTTCAGAGCAAAGAGCTGCGTCCTACCTCTGGAGACGATGCGGACTCCGTGTCTCGCTAGCTCTTGTGACTCCAATCCCAGGTCCTTGGAGATGTTACCCACAAAGGATCCTTTGTCGCTCTCTTCTGGCACGGAGTAATGAATCTGTCCCCTCCCGATCTTCCAAAGCGTGCTCAGAAGCACGCACAGCAGGGCCAGGCGTCTGTGTCCTCGGAAATAATGGGGCGCGACCATTGTTCCTCCGCTGCGGAATCCACTCAGAATCTTCATTAGGTATATATATATATTGTTTTGTTTACCTTTTTGACGCAGCTGTGGAGATCATCTTATGGAAAGTTGGGCTGTACCAAATTTAGAGGCGCAGTTTCGCCGCAGCCCAGCAGTTGGTTTGTGGGATCTGCGGTCTTTGTGATGAGCGAGCACTGGATATCCGGGAGGCGTTTGGTTACATTTTCTCCAAGTAGGTGAACAGCGGCGCTTAGAGTCCTAAGCTGTTATTGCACGCACTTAGATATGCAATGCTGTGTGCTTGATTTCCGAGTGGAAAAAATACTACTTGTTTTTTTAGAGTTTCTTCTGATTTTATTTAATTTGTCTCTGAATCATATTTCAAAAGTAAAAGCCAAGAGGTATTTGTGACGTAGGCTTAACGTCTTGCAAAGTATTTTTAAATGGGTTAGCATCATATTTAATCACTCAAATTTCTGGATTATATTTTCTCCTTAAAAATACATTATTAAATATTTATTAGTATGAACTTAGCAGTATTGTAAATTTCTTCCATGTCTACTGGCAATTATGTAGGGAATAAGTGTCACTGAAAATTGATTCATTCTTAAACTAAAATAGGCCTACTGGAGATGACAGACTCAGAAGTTGTTCTATTTGGTTTCAACAAACTTATCATTATATTGTTTTCTGTGGAGTTGTTTCTTTTTAGTTTTATTTTTAAATGCTATTTTAATTACACATTGACTTTTAAATAATATTTTGAAGTTTCGCAGGATAAATCCTTTCAAGTTTTAAAACACCTCAAAGTACCTAAAACTTTGTTTTATCAGATATTATATTGTTTTGCTATTTTAATTAATTACTTATATTTTCTATTTGAATTTAAAATAGTTTAAAGGTACAAATGACTATATCATGAAAAGAAAATCTCCATCCTATTTGCTCACCAATGAAAGATGATTACATTTTAAAGCAGGCTTAATTAACTTTTTAAGGCAGACACATACTTTAAACCTAAATTGACCTTAACATTTTGGTCAAAAGAACCACAAAAGTACGGATACATAGTCATCACTAAAGAGTCAAAGAATGCCAGCACACAAAAAAAAGTCACTTTGCAGCATTTTGTAGGTGGCTATAGACTGAAGCAGTTGCTAAGGGAAATATAGCAAAAGACTGATACAATGTACCATTGTCTATTGTATATACTAGTATGCACATTAGATTAGCAATTCTATTTAACATTTGAAGACTTGAATATTCAATTTCTCTTTGAGCGACAGTAGAATGACTGGAGACCTCAAGCTATTTTAGTTTAGGAGTACAAAAAGGACAATTCAAAAATTATATTCCAGGAGTGGGTATCAGAGGAGATACAGAGGCAAAAACATTCTCTTTTCTTTGATGGAAGCACTTATAGAATGAACACCAATACTTCAATAATCATGAAAAACCAATATTGCAAATAAGGAGACTACGGCTTTATCTTCTGATAAGTATAATGGACCTAATGCTAAGTTAAGAGTTTTTACATGCGCTCACACGCACACACACATACACACATACACACAGTATACTGCAAACCATTTCCATGGGTACATAAATATCCAGATTAAGATACTTCACTCTAGGAGTTTTTGAAACAAAGGAGAGTAAGTATAAGAAAAAACATCAGATTGCTATGGACCCAATTCGGTAAAATCACTTAAGAGAAATACCTAATTTTACTTTAACTTCTTTTGCTTTAAAGGGTTAAATGATTTCCTACTTTTACATTGACAGTATGACCATGTTCAGAGAAAAATCATCATGTATTAAGCTATAGAAAGAAAATTTTAGGGAAAATCTCATTAGTTTTTATGGGAAAGTCTATGACATTGTCTAATGTTTCCTTTTGTAGATAAAACCACACCCTCATTGCTTTGTAAATCTGGGCATTGAAAGACACTCCCTAAGAGACACAATATTGCTTCTACATCAACCTACCTTGAAAAAAGTCACGGCAGCTTTTTGACTGGCTACCACTTTCTTAACACAACTTATTAGATATGAAGATTGAATATTATCCTGTGAATGAGGGCAACTAGGTAGATCATAAAAAGTAGATTTTCTTAAAAGAAACTCACCTGATGGGAGGTTGACTCGCTGGCATTACAAAGTGGAAATAAGGCTGCAGGTGAATCACCACAAAGTATATCCTGTCCTGAGCTCAACTGCTCATTACATTTTAGAAAATTAAACTCTGTCTTTCCAGTGTGGGCAACGCACAAATTGTAGGAATAAGGCAAAGTCCCTTCCATGTAGTTGGGGGGAACCACTGATGGTCCAGACTTGACACAGAGACCAGGCCTAAAGCAGCCCCAGGCAGAGGGGCTGGAGGAGTGTCGCAGGCGCAGGGCGATGGCCAGAATCACCGCCAGGAGGAAGAGCACAGAGATCAAGGCCAAGGCCAGCACCAAGTAAAACTGCAGCTCAGCCTGGGGGTCAGAGGGCTCAGGCTGGTCACTGAGGTCTGGCAGGGCCTCCTGCAGGCTGTCAGCGAAGACCAGGTGCAGCGTGGCGGTGGCCGAGAGCGCAGGCTGGCCCCCGTCGCGCACGGCCACCAGCAGGCGCTGTCTGGCCGCGTCCCTGTCGCCCAGCGCCCGCGCGGTGCGCACCTCGCCCGTCCGCAGCCCCAGGCTGAAGAGGCCCGGCTCGCTGGCCTGCAGCACGTGGTAGGACAGCCAGGCGTTGTGTCCAGAGTCAGCGTCCACCGCCACCACCTTGGTGACCAGGTAGCCGGGCTGCGCGGCGCGCGGCACCGTGTCGAAGAGCGCAGAGCCGTCGGGCCCCAGCGCGGGGTACAGCACCCTGGGCGCGTTGTCGTTGCGGTCGCCCACCAGCACGCGCAGGCTCGCGTTGGCGCTCAGCGGGGGCGCGCCCTGGTCGCGCGCCTGCACAGTCAGCTCGAAGGCGCGCAGCTGCTCGTGGTCGAAGGCGCGCTGCGCGAACACCACCCCGCTCTGCGCGTTCACGGACACGTAGGACGACAGCGCCTGGGGGCCCAGGTCGCTGCCCACGATGGAGTAGGACACGCGGCCGTTGGATCCCAGGTCGGGGTCAGAAGCGCTGACTTGGGCGATGGAGATCCCGGGAGGGTTGTTCTCAGCTATATGAACCAGGTAGGAAGCCTGTTGAAAAACCGGCCAGTTGTCGTTCACATCGCCGACGGGCAGGGTGATAATTACAGTGGAGGAGAGGGGTGGTTTGCCTCTGTCAGTGGCAGTAATGGAGAGATTGTACTCTGGGGTCTGCTCGCGGTCTAGAATGCCATCGGTCACTAATTTATACGTGTTTCTTGTTGAACTTAATATTTTAAACGGAACGTTACCTTCTAATTTACAGATAACTTCTCCGTTTTGTCCGGAATCTTTGTCACGTGTTTTAAACAAAGCGATGTGTGTCCCCAGCTTGGTGTCCTCCATAATAATGTCTGGTAGAGACTGGAATATTACTTCTGGTACATTGTCGTTTATGTCTAAGACTTCTATTTCCACCGTGCACTGGGCAATCATTCCTCCACCATCCCTTGCTTCCAAAACTATAGAATATTCTTTAACTTCCTCAAAGTCTAATGTATTTAAAATAGTAATTTGCCCGGTATTAGAATTTAGGTCAAAGTGGGTGACCTGGTCTGCCTCCGTGAAAGAAAAAGTGACCTCAGCATTGACACCCTCATCCTGGTCTGTGGCCGTCACACGAAGCACGGCTGTGCCTGGCAATACGTTCTCTGGAATGCCCACTCTGTAGAGTTCTTGACTGAACACTGGAGGGTTGTCGTTGGCATCAGTCACTAAGATCTGTATCTGTGCATTGCTACTCAGGGGTGGATCCCCGCCGTCCAAGGCAGTTAAGGTCAAATAGTAGGACTTCTGCTCTTCCCGGTCTAATGGCATTTTCAGGACCAGCTCTGGGTATTTACTGCCATCTAATTTCTCTTTATTCACTAGTGAGAAATGATCATTTGGGCTGAGCTGGTAATTCTGTAGCGAATTGGTACCAATATCTGCATCATGAGCGGATCCTAAAATAAATCGCGCTCCGGGTTTTGTGGATTCACTTATTTGCAGCTCAAAGGAATTTTGTGTGAATTTTGGCGTGTGGTCATTGATATCCTCGATCTCCACGTTCACGTGGTAAAAATTTAACGGATTTTCAGCAACAGCCTCAAACTCCAGAGCGCATGCTGGCTGCTTCCCGCAAATCTGCTCGCGGTCCAGCCGGCTGCTCACGAGCAGCTCCCCGCTCTCTGCGCTCACAGCGAAGTAAGGCTTCTCCGGACTGACGCGCAGCTTTCGAGTCGGTAACTCTTGGACACTGAGTCCCAGGTCCTTGGCGAGGTTCCCCACCACCGAGCCCTGGGGCAGTTCCTCGGGAATCCTGTAGCCGACCGGCTCAGAGAGCGCCCGACAGAACAAAGACAGCAGCAAGGGAAAGAGCGCCGGCCGCCGCTCAGCCCAGCTCTTCTCCCCAGCGCCTCTCCCCAGCCCGCTTGCTCCCCTCATCCCGCTCACCTGCCTGGAGACTCCAGAGTACAAGGAACCCCTGGAGCAGGTGTCCGGAGCCCCGAACAGGCTTCCTCTCCTACGTGGGGGTCAGGCTCGCTTCTTTTCCAGAGGAGGCAGCGGCGGAAAGACTCGCGCTGGCGTCTCAGAGGGAGACAGCTCTGCGGCTGTGCGCCGAGATCGCCCGCGCCAAGCTGCTCGCTTTGGCCAACAGCGGCGCCCAGAGCCCGCGCTAGCAAACTGCAGCCTCTGCTGCTTTGGTTTAAGGAGCTGCAATCATCACAGTCTTGTTCCTAACTGTACAAACTATACGGCTAACATTCGATAACGTTTGACTTGTATTAGAAACACCCTTACCCCAAATCAGGGTTTTAGAGAAATCACACAGATTTAATACATAAACACTCATTTTGACATCATCATTCCCCTATTTTCAAACCCGCACTAAAAAAGATAACAATGACATTCTTGACCTAAGTGATTTCAGAGTACAGCAATATTGAATATCTATTAGCAAACTATCGGACAAGTTTTATATTCTTTCCTTGTTTCTTTGCTTTTTGTTTTCTTTATGTTTTGGGTCCTGTACCTTCATGCTGATTTCTGAAAAATTTTCAGAATTCATCAGCAATACTGAAGTTGTCGTTAAAAGGGGGCCCAGTTTATTTTATTTTCCCCTCAATTTCCCTAATTTTACTTACCTACAAACCCTTCTCTTCTTCCCCAATACTTTCAGTTATTTGCTACCTTAGCTAAGGAAATTGCATAGCCAGAAAAGAGTTACCCTGTCTCTTTCCTTCTCATTGCACAAATATTATATTACCCTGGTTACATAAGGTAACATCAAATTCCAGAGTTACCAGGTGAATAATGTTTTTTCTTACAACACAAAATCACCAACCATGGTCTACTGCAAACCTTTAGTGTAGTATTAGGCTTCATGTGTGTAATGAATATGGATCTTGTTGAAGTTTGACACAGGCAGTTCATTGTATGCATCAACCCAGACTTCCAAGCAGAGCTAGCTTTAATAGACGATATGCTTAAAATGGATCAGGAAGCAACTTTGATTTTCAGAGTCACCAAGATACATGCAGGCAGAAGCAGTACACAGATAAAACCTCCAGACTGAAAAAACTCACCAACAGACCATGAATGAAGCACCACTTCCAACTTTTGCACTTAGGTAACATTCCACAATGACTTCAATGGAAGGAAATAGTTCCTAGGAAGTTTATTTGCAGTAGTTCATTGAGTTTAGTGATGATTTCTCCCCTTTGTTTAAAAATGTTTTAAGCATGTAATTTAAATTTGGTTGGGGATTTTCTTTTTCATAATACACGATAACCATATTTATCCATGTTAACGTATTGGTAATATGGACTTCTTCCCCAAGTGACTACATATCTGAACACTGCAGAATGAAAGAAATATATCCCACACAACTGTGCAGCCCTTTATATGCAAAGTACTACCAAACACAATACTATCCTAGAAAAAAATGTCCTTTTAATTAACACTCAAAATGTCTTAGTAATGAGCAAGACTATGTGGTCATCAATTCCTTCCAAATACTAATCTATTGAAATGTTACTTAATCCCAGACTGGATTATATCTGAATGAAATTTTCAGTAGACCCCACAAATAAACTCAACTATTGATCTAGAACTTGAGATTATAAGATGGTTTAGGAAGCCAGCATTCCCAGTCTCTCACTGGAAAGCCCCCATTACATTCACACACCTACCTGTACCAGTAAAACATCATATTGGAATCTTGTGTTAAAAATATGTAACTTCCCATTTCCCAAATGCCATTTACAATAATTGAAATGACATATATGATATTATAATTTATTGATTTTGGACAATGACCTTTAGTGTGGTATTAGATTTCATGAGTGTCATGAATACAGATCTCGGCGCAGCTTGACATATTCTAGGAATCAATCTAGGCTTCAAGAGAAGCTGCCTTTAATAAACGATTATGCTTTAAAATAGATCAAGAAGCAAATGAGATTTTCAGGGCCACTGAGGTGAAAGTGGCCTTGAAAAGTAGGACAGAGATCAAATCTTCAGAATGAAAAACATCTTCAAGAATGTTTTAATGATCGAACCTAAATGGATCATTTATAAAAAACATGAATTAAGAACAAGTTGAAAAATAGATGGAAGGTATAACAGTATGAGACTCCACTTATTCACAATCTTGTCTATAGACTTTTACTATAGAGATGATACCAAAACCTAAGTCAGTAAATATTCCAACTTAAACTATTACCACTGAAATAAACCATAGCGCTTGCTTTGCCTCTTCAAGGTGTTCCACCCTGTCTTAAAAATGCTTGTTTGGCAAAACAAAAAAGCAGTCACACAAAGATACAGTTACTCCAGGAAGCACAGATAAATGAATGACTGAACTCACCTGAACACTCTCACCTTCATCCTTACATTCATGAAAGGCTATAGATGCTAACAAAGGATCTTTTTTCTCACAGCTCTCCTGGCTGATGAGCGTGTCCGCATAGTTGGGCTGCGGGAAGATCAGGTGACTTTTCCTTGAGTCTGCGGTGAGGGAGACCTCATGCGAATAGGTCTGCAGGAAAGCCTGTACCCCGTCCACACCCGCAAAGTGAGAGGTGGGCATGCCTGCCAATACACTTTCTGAAGCCTGGAGCAGGCGCGACATGTGCCAGCGCCGCAGCCTGAGTGCCATCAGCACGATGACAAAGGCCAGGAAGACGCAGGAGACCACGGCCACCGCCACCACCAGGTACAAGGTAAGGTCGGAATCCTCAGAGTCCGCGGGGGTGCTGATGCTGCCCAGGTCAGCCAGGACATCTGGGATGCTGTCTGCCACGGCCACGGTGAGCGTGACCGTGGCCGAGAGGGGGGGCTGGCCGTGGTCCTTGACCACCACCACCAGGCTCTGCTTGAGCGCATCTCTGTCCAGCAGGGCCCGCGCAGTGCGCACCTCGCCTGTGTGCAGCCCCACTGAGAAGAGCCCTGGCTCGCTGGCCTTGAGCAGGCAGTAGGACAGCCAGGCGTTCTGGCCTGAGTCTCTGTCCACCGCCACCACCTTGGTCACCAGGTAGCCAGGCTCTGCAGAGCGGGGTGCCAGCTCCACGCCTGTGGAACCATCTGTGGGGAGGGCAGGGTACAGGATCTCTGGTGCATTGTCGTTCTGGTCCAGCACAAATATGCTCAGTGACATGTTGCTGCTGAGTGGAGGGTCCCCGCTGTCATGGGCAGTCACTGTCAATTGCAAATCACGGAACTGCTCATAGTCAAAAGAGTGCAACGCATATAGGACGCCGGTGTCAGAGTTGATGGAGAGATAGGAGGCTAGAGGTGCCCCCTGGAGCGTGTCCTTAGACAGGGAATAAGTGACACGGGCGTTCTCACCACTGTCAGGGTCATGTGCAGTCACAGAAAAGATAGAGGCTCCTCTGGGGTTGTTCTCAGGGATGTAGACAGAATAGAAGGAGTGGGGGAAAGCAGGTGGGTTATCGTTGGTGTCTGCCAAATTTATGGAAATGTGAGTTTCTGTGGACAAGGGCGGGCTCCCACCATCTGTGGCTTTCAGTGTAATGTTATACACAGAGAACTTTTCACGGTCTAGGTTGTTGGCTGTCAACAGCCTATAATAATTGTCTATCGATCTTTCTAATTTAAAAGGCACATTTTCTGATATCGTGCAGGTCACTTTGCCATTTTTCCCAGAATCTCGGTCTTGGAGGTAAAAAAGAGCAATCACTGTTCCAGGAGGAGTGTCTTCAGGGATTGAGCTGCTTACAGACGTCACGGTCACTTCTGGGGCATTGTCATTCACATCCAAAATTGTGATCAGTACTTTAGCCCTTGTCATACTACCAGGCCCATCCTGAGCCTGGACTTCCATTTCATAGTGGTCAAATTCTTCATAATCTAGGCCTTCTAATGTTGATAATTCTCCTGTATGAGAGTTCAGTTGGAATGTTTGTAAAATTTTTTGAGTTATTTTCCAAAAGGAATAGGTCACTTCTCCATTGACTCCCTCATCTGGATCCATAGCTTTTACCGTGAGCAATCTTGTGCCCACCGGCACGTTCTCGGGGACAGTCACTTGGTACAGGGGCAAAGAGAAGACGGGCGCGTGGTCATTCACGTCCACCACTGTTACTTGGATACGGGCGGTGCCAGATCGGGGTGGGTCGCCGCCGTCAGAGGCTGTGAGGAGGAGGTGGTGAACAGCCTCCTCCTCCCTGTCCAGCACCCGCTCCAGCACTAATTCCGGATATTTAGTTCCATCATCTCCAGTTTGCTCAACCAGGGAGAAGTGACCGTTGGGATTGAGCTGGTAGCTCTGGAGAGAGTTCCTCCCCACATCTGGATCTCTAGCCTCATTTAACGGAAACCGCGCTCCAGGAGACGTGTTCTCCATTATTTTTACATTCATTTCTGCCATCAAGAATCTAGGAGCATTGTCGTTAACATCCACTATTTCTACTTCTACAGGGTAAAGATTCATTTTATCTTCCATCAGGATGTTAAAGTTCACCAGGCACCGCGCGCTCTGAGCGCACAGCTCCTCCCGGTCTATCCTGCCCGCGGTGACCAAGCTCCCGCTTTTCGGATTCAGAGCAAAGAGCTGCGTCCTACCTCTGGAGACGATGCGGACTCCGCGCTCCGCCAGTTCCTGGGGCTCCAGACCCAGATCCTTGGCGATGTTACCCACAAACGACCCTTTGTCTGTCTCCTCCGGAACAGAGTAGAGAATTTGTCCAGCCCAAGCTTCCCTCAGAGTCCCCAGGAGGATCGAGAGCAGAATGAATCCTCTGTAGTCCCAGCGCCTCTGCGGAGCCGCCATTGTTGTCCTGCGCATCTTGTTTAGATTCTGGGCTACCTGCTGTTATGCTTCTGGATGCCAGTGTGTCCGCATGGAGTCCTCTGTGTTCGGAAAAGGACCCAGAATCACCAGAATAGAGACCTGGATTTGGTACTGCTTGGAAAAGAGTTTGTCTCCAGCTGGCGTTTCTTTGTGCTGGAAGGGCTCGGTGGTACTGGCGGATCTTCTGCACCATTTTCCCCTGGTTGGTGAACAGCGGCGCCCAGAGTCTTTACTAAGTTACTGCACCATATTGCAGCAGAATAACAGGTTTTTCAGAAAGTTTGATATCCTTCAAATTTCTTTGGTTTATATATCTACAATCCATATATCTCTCAAAATACATTTTAAGAAACTTCAAGTTAACGCAGCACTGTTCACGGATGGGTGTTTTTTTAATCCCAGGTATTTTTTTTTAATTATCTGCACTGCAACTTTTAAATGACTCTTGGACACTATCTCACGCTTTATTGCACATAGAGAAATATCAGCTGTTTCAGGTAAAAAAAGTATTATTTCTTTAAATAGGGTGTGAGTATACATAAGAAAGACATATAGGAATTGTTTACATCAGATTACAATAAATTTAAATTCAGTAATATTGAACGCTTACTGTATATATAGATACTATCATCTAGACTCAGAAAGTAAAAATTTCAAGTATGAAATTCCACAAAGGATTTTCCATACAGTTTTTTACTGTATGGAATCTTAGAAATAATTAAGTTCAATGTTTTCTTTTTAATAATTTTAAAAATAAGAGGGAATTGCCTTGTCCTTGACAATATTTAGTAGTAGACCCTATGTCACAGTGCAAGTTTCCTCACTCCCAGTCCTTGAGAAGGCAGTAGGCAACTGTGATCAACTTTGATAGATGCTCAGAAAGCATCATCTGATATGAGGTGATGAAGTGAGAAGCCAAGCACAGCAATAATTAGCTATAAAAGTCACTCATTTTGTACAGAAGGTAGACATTTGCAGAGATTCTGCTGACTGTGGATTCATGAGAAAGTGGGTATTGGCTTGACTGCTCCTTTTCATTATGCAATTCTAAGAATTATTCTACCTTATTCCAGAATGACTGAGAAAAGGTGGCTCTCTGGACAGTCTTTGAGCATACCTGCAGGACTGAGAGACTCCTTAGCGGTACTCATTCTCCACAAATGTTAATGAATAAAACTCATTTGTTGATGGATCTGGGGTTACCCTCAACCAGTAGAAATAAAGCAAAGTTCCTTCACTATAGCTGCAGGAGAAAAGAGAGTGACTTACTCTGGAATGAATACCTGGCAAGAAAAAGCTTGGCTTTTTAAATTATTTTAAACTTAGGGGAGTGGTTAGCATTGTCAGGAGGAGAAACCAGAATAAACACTGAAAATTCTTAGCTTATTTGGTGAGATGTTCCTAAGTAAGCAATCTATTTCTGCTCTGTTGTGGCACTGCTCCAAAATATCGGGAATACTTTGAGTAAAGTGCTGTTTTGATTAATCAAAAATAATTCAGTCATGTTTACTTTCACCAAATAGATAAAAGAACTTTTTGATCTAAGGAACCTATACGAGTATTACAGATTAATTCCATAAACAGAAGCTAAGTATTATTTGTTTAAAAGTAATTTTGAACTTGTTGAAGTAAGCAAAAGATATGATCTTTAAAGATCATAAGTAATTGTTGCCATTTTCGAACCAAACTTTCATCTGTTGATATTATGACTCCCAAATTTGCTATCTTTTCCTATATGATACTTCAAATGTCTCAATCACATTTATTTCTTTTATTATTTTAAAAAATCTTAACTTACAAATTCTGGGTAGCTTCTCTGAAACTAAATAATTAAAATCTAGAAAAATGGGATTGTAGGCATAATTTGTACATAAAGCACACTTTAGGGAGCAAATAGTTTCATTAACTCTAGCAATCAAGTTTTCTAAGTTAGTTTACAATGTAAAATTAAGCATTAAAGTATTCTACTAGACCACTGAGATATGTTTAAATATAACATAAGCCTTCTATATAAAATCAAAATAATTTTATACTTTAAAAGAGAGTAGGTTATATTTTTGATTTATTGGGAAGAATCTAGACATTCATTTGTTTGCCTGCATTCAAAAATTCTATGGAAAGTCTATTTGACTTTGCAGGCATTGAATTATTTATATTTTCTCCTGTCTTTATGGAAGTATTTTCTGTTGAAGAACCATTTGTTTGGAATTGTGTTTAGGTTTTCCTTCCCAAACAAAGGCGTGGGTATTTTCCAATGATCCCTCTAAGATTTTACTCCTTCCCTTTGACAACTGCCACCTTAGCAGAAGTTTGATCAGAAACAAGTGGTTTTCACAGATGATAAAATAGCCCAACACTGGGTAGCTTTCCCCCTGATACTCCAAAATTTAGAATGTGTTCAAAATCATAGACTGCCTATCATATTAATAATATCTTTATGGCATGTAGGTAAAAAGAGCTTCATTTAGCTAGAATTTAGAGAATGCCATGATTGCCTAATTCAACACTTGGTCAGTCCACATGCATAAATGACTACTGTAAGAGTAAAATCTGATCTATTTTCTGTCTGTCAGTAAAATATTTTATTTGTGTAAATGAAATGGTCACAGGTAACTGAGATAAGAGGATATGTCAGCCTACTTATCCCAGTTAGTGAGCAGAGAACAGAAACCAATCTACTATCTATGAAACCCAGTTAGTGATCTTTGCTTATAACAATGGAGATTCACTAACTAAACCCAGTTAGTAATCTAGCTTAAATTGTTCAGATTGGGATATAATGAAATGATATTTACAATCATAGAATGTATGAAACCAACATAATATTTGTATAAGACATCAGCTGATTCCTAAGACCAACACTAAAGATTCAAAATCTTTAAAATTGTTATTTACTATTAAATTCTGGTTAAGATCATCAAAGAATTATATAAAAATGTCCGAAACAATCAGATGTGAAAATATGTATGATTGGAATATCTCGGTTATATAAATTTGTAATCTTGAAGTAAATTATAAGTACGATACTGATTCAGAAAACATGTATGTATTACCCTTAGCAGCTAATTTAAAGACATCATCTCAATATTACCTTTATGAAGACTCACAACTTCAGATTACAAAGGTTCTCATTTACTTTCAACATATCTTCTCATTTATTTTTACACATGTATACTAAATTTAGATGCACAAATGGCCACACATTGTATTATCAATTCATAGACTCCTTCAGCTCAGGATTAGAAAAGACCTTGGCAATTAGTAGTTCAACAACTCATCACATTATATTATCTCCTATATTCCATTAATTCTAGGCCATCAACTTTTTTTTAAAAAAGATTTATTTTTATTTATTTATACAAGCACTGGGCACAGTCAGAAGCACAGGAGGGTGAGAGAATTCACCAGAGCCAGAGCGGGTAGCAGGGCAGCAGGAGAGGTCTGAGCGTCATCATGTGGGACCCTCCTCATGTGGGACCCTCCTCCGGTGGCTGGGGAGCAGCTGGGGATCAAACTGGTGCTGCAGAGGCCGCAGGCAGCCTCGCAACCCAAGGTTCAACGGCTGCGCCATCGGGGAGGCCCAATTCTAGGCCATCAACTTTTGAAAAGCACCAATAATAGAATTTCCTACCTCTTTAGAAACCCATTTCCTGCTAGAGGAATTCTGACAACTCAAAACTGCTTTTTTCTACTCACCAACGCACTGTTTCATTTAACCCTTTGGGTCAAGATGAATTTGACTGATCATTTTTATTTTTTTTTTAAAGAGGCATGTATTTTTATTTATTTATTTATGATTTATTTATTTGTTTGTTTGTTTGTTTTGTTTATACATGCACTGGGTACAGTCAGAAGCGCGGGAGGGTGAGAGAATTCACCAGAGCCAGAGCGGGGAGCAGAGCAGGCAGAAGGACCGAAGTACACTGCTGAGGGGAGCAGCGGGCGGCAGGAGAGGTCTGCGCACCATGTGGGACCCTCCTCTGGTGGCCGGGGAGCAGCCAGGGGATCAAACTGGCGCCGCAGAGGCTGTGGGCAGCTTCGCAACCCAGCGCTCAACCGCTGCGCCACCGGGGAGGCCCTGACTAATCATTTTTAAATAACAACCCTTCATTTCTTAAGTATTTGAATAGAGTTCCCAAATGACAAAAAAATCTTGCTTTATCTGGGTTAAACATACTAAATTATTAAAATCCTTATATGAACATTTTCAATCCTTTATTCTCCCATTCATGAGTCAGTTTTCATTTTTGGAGATAAATCCTGTAAACCTGTAAGTGGACACTACTGAGTATATTTTAAAATTCATTTTCATTTTAAAATATTATCAACCACACACATTGTAGTACATATATAGTTATGCACTCATATTTATTTGTACACATATATTTATTTGTACTTATATATAATAGGACTTATATTTATTAATTATTCAGTAATTATAATCATGCTATCAAAAATGCTTGTTGATTATGCAATTTGAAGAAAAACACTTTATAAAATTATTTTATTTTCTTTCCCAAGAATTTGTGTGAGGAAGATAACTCAAGTCGTTTTTTATTTAAATTGTAATTTGAAGACTGTAGATATTGCAACTAACCTGAAGTGAGTAACAGTACCAGGAATGTTTTTCAGGTCTTTTAACTTCAGAGATTAGGTCTTCCTTGGTACAGATGTCAGCTACTCTTACTTTTATAAAAATGTTTGATTCCCAAGTATTTTTTTAAAGATTTATGTATTCATTTATACAAGAACCAGGGTACAGGCCAGAGGTGTGGGAGGGTGAGAGGATTCACCAGAGACAGAGTGGGGAACAGAACAGGCTGACTGACTGAAATATGCTGCTGAGGGGAGCAGCAGGCGAGACAGGAGAGGTCTGCCATGCCATGTGGGATTCTCGCTGGGGGGCCAGGATCGAACCCATGCTGCAAGGCTGTGGACAGCTTTACAGAGCAGTGAAAGTCTCTCACAAATATCCATCATTTTGAAAAATGCTTGTTATTAAAGAGTAAGCATTAGGGGTGAAACAAGAGCTTGATCTTCCTTAACAGAGGCTAAATTCCTTTTTTTTCACAGCACAAAAAGAAAATTTCAGAAATGTCACATAATAAAGAAAAAGTCCCTAAGAAACAAGATGTATGTATGCAACCAAAGGCACAAAGAGTTTGCTAAGAAAAAAGTGAAGGAAATCTAGGTCATACATGAGGATTTGCTCATGAAATTTGAGAAAAATGAGATTTAATAGAGTTCTATTGATATAAAAGAAAAACTTACTGCAAAAGACTAAGAAAACTAAGGATCAATTAAAGAGAATTTTAAACTTTCCAGACCAAGTGAAACAAATAAAGCCAATAACCTCACCTCAACAAGGGTGTCTTCCTCCTTACAAAATCCTGAATCTTCCTGAATCAGAAGAGGCTCACTTTTCTCACAGCTCTCCTGGCTGATGAGCGTGTCCGCATAGTTGGGCTGAGGGAAGATCAGGTGACTCTTCCTTGAGTCTGCAGTGAGGGAGACCTCATGCGAATAGGTCTGCAGGAAAGCCCGCACCCGTCCACGCCCACAAAGTGTGAGGTGGGCACCCCAGCCAATCCGACTCCTGAAGCGTGGAGCAGGCGTGAAGTATGCCAGCGCCTGAGTCTGAGCGCCATCAGCATGATGACAAAGGCAAGAAAGATGCAAGAGACCACGGCCACCGCCACCACCAGGTACAAGGTAAGGTCAGAATCTTCGGGGTCAGCTGAGGGCTGGAGGCTGCTCAGGTCAGCCAGGACATCTGGGATGCTGTCCGCCACAGCCACAGTAAGTGTCACAGTGGCTGAGAGGGGTGGCCGGCCATGGTCCTGGACCACCACCACTAGGCTCTGCTTGAGCGCATCTCTGTCCAGCAGGGCCCGCGCTGTGCGCACCTCACCTGTGTGCAGCCCCACTGAGAAAAGCCCTGGCTCGCTGGCCTTGAGCAGGCGGTAGGACAGCCAGGCGTTCTGGCCTGAGTCTCTGTCCACTGCCACCACCTTGGTCACCAGGTAGCCAGGCTCTGCAGAGCGGGGTGCCAGTTCCACGCCTGTGGAGCCATCTGTGGGGAAGGCAGGGTACAGGATCTCAGGTGTGTTGTCATTCTGGTCCAGCACAAATATGCTCAGTGACACATTGCTGCTGAGTGGAGGGTCCCCACTGTCATGAGCAGTCACTGTTAATTCCAGGTCGCGGAACTGCTCATAATTAAAGGAGCATAGTGCATATAGGACTCCGGTGTCAGAGTTGATGGAGACATAGGAAGACAGAGGTACACCCTGAATGGTATCTTCAACCAGGGTGTAGGTGACCTGGGCATTTTCATCACTGTCAGGGTCATGTGCAGTCAAGGAGAAGATGGAGGCACCTCTGGGATTGTTTTCAGGGACGTAGACAGAGTAAGAGGAGTGGGAAAAGGCTGGTGGGTTGTCATTGGTGTCTGCTACATTTAGGGTGATGAGCATTTCTGTAGACAGTGGTGGCATTCCTTTGTCCATGGCCATCACAGTGATGTTGTACAAGGGCACCTGCTCTCGATCTAGCACTTTATTGGTCACCAATCGGTAATAATTGTCTACTGACTTTTCCAGTTGAAATGGCAGACCTTTTGAGATGGAACATGTTACCAGGCCATTCAGTCCTGAGTCTCGATCGTGTACTTGAAAAAGAGCTATTACCGTCCCTGGAGGTGTACTTTCCGCAACTGATCTGCTTCCAGATGTAACTACCACTTCTGGTATATTGTCATTCACATCCAAAATAGTTATTAAGACCTTTGCTCTGTCTTGTAAACCTGGCTGATCCCGGGCCTCAACATCTAGCTCATAAAAGCTTGAGTCCTCGTAGTCTAGATTTGCAGAAGTCGATATCTCTCCAGTCAAAACATTCAGACAGAAAATCTTTGAAATCTTTTCTGTTATCTTCACGAAGGAATATGTTACTTCTGCATGGACTCCTTCATCCTGGTCTGTGGCATTTACCGACAGCACTGGTGTACCTACTGGCAGATTTTCAGGAACACTCACATGGTAGACAGGTTGAGTAAACACTGGAGCATTGTCATTGACATCGAGGACAGTTACCAGAATCCGTGCCATGCCTGAGCGGGCAGGGACACCACCATCTATGGCAGTAAGGACCAGGCGGTGGATGGCCTCTCCCTCCCGGTCCAGGGCATTCTCCAGCACCAGCTCTGGGTATTTGCGCCCATTGGCTTCACTTTGCACGTTCACTGAGAAGTGACTATTTGCACTGAGCTTGAAGCTCTGAAGATTGTTCATTCCCACATCAGGGTCATAGACTTCTATTAGTGGAAAACGAGAGGATGGAGCTGCATTTTCGGGAATTTTCACCTCTAGTTCTTCACTTGAGAATACGGGTGCATTATCATTAATATCTATTATTTCCACTTCTACTGGATAAAGATTCAGCTTATCCTCAAAGAGGATGTTAAAACTCACCAGGCACCGCGCGCTCTGAGCGCAGAGCTCCTCCCGGTCTATCCTGCCCGCGGTGACCAAGCTGCCGCTCCCCGGGTTCAGAGCAAAAAGCTGCGTCCTACCTCTGGAGACGATGCGGGCTCCGCGCTCCGTCAGCTCCTGGGGCTCCAGCCCGAGATCACTGGCGATGTTACCCACGAAGGAGCCTTTGTCCAGCTCCTCAGGAACGGAGTAACGGATGTGTCCGGCCCCAACCCCACACAGCCTCCCCAGGAGCAGGAAGAGTACCACTAACCCGCTGTGGTGCCGGCGCCTTTGCAGAGCCGCCATTACTGGCTGCTTCTTGACTTTCCTGGGACTATGAGTAGGTGGAACAGATTCGCATCGCTTTCAGGCTTCTCAGAATTAGAGGTCGAGGTCCATAAACAAGCAGAGATCAGATGCGTTGAGTTTTAGGTCAGAATTTCTGAGCACCTGGAGAGTTTCCGTGTCTGATCTGCTTTGTGCTTGGAGGCTATTAACTCGGGTTTTCTTTGCTTTCCTTACCCAGTTAGTGAACAGCGACACTTAGAGTCTGAACTTAATACTACACCATTTAGTGAAACCATCATAAACAGCATCTTATTTCTGCTAAATCTGCACAGATCACAAGCAATAATATTTCTCTTCCCAAGAATGAGAAGTATTTGGAAGAATAAAGGAGCCTATCCTGAATAATTTTAATGTCCCCTGGAATTTACCATTCATTTTTTGTGATTTTCTTTGAACTTGGATAACAGAAATAATATTAAACTGTTCTATAAAGTTTGAATCACTGCACTCCACCATTATTTATACTTGACCCATTTGCAACAGACATTAACAAACACAAACGTATTTGGATCCAGCCCATTAGTGCAAGATATAAGTGTTGCCATTTTTAGATGCAATCATTAATTTGTGTTAACATAGACAAAGAACTGTTATAATTTAGGCAATAATTTGTGTTACCTATAAAATGCAGAGGAAGTGAAAATACATAAGAGATAGTGAAAAATATATATTATATCTGAAACATGGTTTAGGATTGATTGCATTGAAATTACTAGATTATGTAGATTTGTGTTTAAGTATATATAGATATGACTCACAATGAGAGTGTGAGATACTAATGTATTAAAATGTTTTAGGGTAAATTGTTTTAGGGTTAATAATATTTTCAAGAACATCACAAAGTGACTTTCTATAAAAACCAATTGCAGCACAGAAAATTGAGCAAAGAATTTCTAACATACTTGTTATAGACCCAGAAAAATCAATAAAATACAGTAATGTAAGGACATACTTAGTCTGTATACTTTTTTAGCTCCAAAATGATTAATTGAAACTTAATTATACTTATTGGAAGAAAGGACTTTGGAATAACTCACCTGTTGCAAATTGACTGAATTAGAAGTCATTTTGGGATTGGCATTACTGGTACTTTCAAACCAAGATGCTTCATCACATAGAAGATCCTGTGGTGAGGCATGTTCAGGCTTTATATTGAGAAATTTAAACTCAGTCTTTGAGGAATGCAAAGCAGCACACAGATTGTAGGAGTAAGGTAATGTCCCTTCACCATAGTTGGGGAGAACCACAGGTCCAGTCTTGGAGCACACACCAGACTGAAAGCAACTCCAGCGGTTGAGGCTGGAACGTCTCAGGCTCAAGGCAATGGCCAGAATCACCGCCAGGAGGAAGAGCACAGAGATCAAGGCCAAGGCCAGCACCAAGTAAAACTGCAGCTCAGCCTGGGGGTCAGAGGGCTCAGGCTGGTCACTGAGGTCTGGCAGGGCCTCCTGCAGGCTGTCAGCGAAGACCAGGTGCAGCGTGGCGGTGGCCGAGAGCGCAGGCTGGCCCCCGTCGCGCACGGCCACCAGCAGGCGCTGTCTGGCCGCGTCCCTGTCGCCCAGCGCCCGCGCGGTGCGCACCTCGCCCGTCCGCAGCCCCAGGCTGAAGAGGCCCGGCTCGCTGGCCTGCAGCACGTGGTAGGACAGCCAGGCGTTGTGTCCAGAGTCAGCGTCCACCGCCACCACCTTGGTGACCAGGTAGCCGGGCTGCGCGGCGCGCGGCACCGTGTCGAAGAGCGCAGAGCCGTCGGGCCCCAGCGCGGGGTACAGCACCCTGGGCGCGTTGTCGTTGCGGTCGCCCACCAGCACGCGCAGGCTCGCGTTGGCGCTCAGCGGGGGCGCGCCCTGGTCGCGCGCCTGCACAGTCAGCTCGAAGGCGCGCAGCTGCTCGTGGTCGAAGGCGCGCTGCGCGAACACCACCCCGCTCTGCGCGTTCACGGACACGTAGGACGACAGCGCCTGGGGGCCCAGGTCGCTGCCCACGATGGAGTAGGACACGCGGCCGTTGGGTCCCAGGTCGGGGTCGGAGGCGCTGACTTGGGCGATGGAGATCCCGGGAGGGTTGTTTTCGGCCACGTGAACCACGTAGGAGGCCTGATGGAAAACCGGCCAGTTGTCATTGACATCAGCAACATTTAAAGTGATACTTTTGTTGGAGCATAGGGGAGGCCTGCCCCTGTCGGTGGCTGTGATAGTGAGATTGTATTCTGGAATTTGCTCTCGATCTAGGGTTCCATCTGTCACTAACTTGTATGTGTTTTTTGTATCTTGAACTATTTTAAATGGGGATTTTCCATTTAGTTGGCATAGGATTTCCCCATTAAGTCCAGAATCTCGATCATGTGTTTTGATCAGGGCAACAACTGTTCCCAGTTTGACATCTTCTTGTATATGTTTAGATTCAGAATCCAGGGTTATTTCAGGAGCATTGTCATTTTCATCCAAAATATCTATTTGTATTTTACAATGTGCAGTGTGACGCCCACCGTCTTTTGCCTCAACCCCAATTGTGTAGCTCTCTCTCTTTTCAAAGTCTAGTCCTCCAGCAGTGGTGAGTTCCCCTGTTTTTCTGTCTAGCTTGAACAAGTGCCTCACTTCCTTATCAATATTGATGAAAGCATAGGTGATCTCAGCATTGATGCCCTCATCTGAGTCAGTGGCTGTCACTCTTAGCACAGAGGAGCCCACGGGCAAGTTTTCTGCAACACTGACCCTGTATAGATCCTGGGTGAACACTGGGGTGTTATCATTTGCATCTGCCACAACTACCACGATTTGGGTAGTGCAGCTTCTGGCAGGCTCACCCCCATCCACAGCTGTGAGGAGCAGGTGGTAGTGGGACTGCTCCTCCCTGTCCAGGGGAGTCTTCACTACCAGTTCAGGGTACCTACTGCCATCTGGATTCTCCTTCTGGAGCAAAGAGAAGTGTGGGTCTGGGCTGAGGTAGTACTGCTGCAGGGAATTCACACCTACATCTGAATCCTGAGCAGATTCCAGGGCAAAGGTGGCTCCAGGTAGGGCCATTTCACTGATTTCCAGCTCAGTAATATTTCTGCTAAAGGTCGGTGGGTTGTCGTTGACATCCTGAATGCCCACAGTTATATGAAAAAAGTTCAAAGGATTTTCAGCGACCATTTCAAATTCCAGAACACACGTTGACTTCTTGCCACAAATCTGCTCTCGGTCTATACGGTCGCTCACAAGTAAGTCCCCATTCTCGGGGTTCACTGTAAAGAATTTCTTCTCTGAACTAACCCGCAGCTTCCGAGCAGGCAAATCTTGCACGCTAAGCCCCAGATCCTTGGCGAGGTTCCCCACCAGTGAGTCCCTGGCCAGCTCCTCGGGAATAGAGTAGCGGATCTGCTCGGAGAGCGCCCGGCAGAACAAAGACAGCAGGAAGAGAAACTGCATTTGCCTCGGCCCCGCCCTGCCCTTGGGTCCCAAGCGATTCCCCATCCCGCTCTCCACGCCTTTACCTTTCTGATTCCGAAGAGCTGAAATCGCTAAATGAGCCCAAGAATTCTTTGGCAGGAGGGGTTCTGATTTGTCTTGATGAGCGGATTCTTTGATAGATATCTCCGCGGCAGGGAGCAGGAGAGTGCACAACGCTCTGATTTCCCTGGTCGCCTGGAGATTCCTTCGCTTTGGGAAGAACTGATACCTCGCCCAGAACTAGCCAACAGCGGCACCCGGCGCCTCGGCTGCAGAAGTGCAGTCGTGGTTGCTAAAATCAGTTCCAATGAAGGAGCAGGCTAGAAAAAATTCTAGTGTTCAGATGCAGATTCTCATTCTTCCCATTTTACCAGGATATTAACGTTTTAAATTTGACCATCTTTTGTTTCTGGCTGTCATTTCTTTAAATTTGAACTTCATCCATCCAAATCAAATCATCTTTTACTTGTAAAAGAACAGAGACCCTTGGAGATGTTTGTTGGAAAGTCTTGTTCTTAGTTTTCATAAAATGGCCATAATTACATCTTACTTGCATTCTTTAGTAGAATTGAGGACTCAGTAAAATAATATATAGAAAATTATATGAATGAAAGATAGTGGTGGCACTGGGTGTGATATGAAAATTCTTCTATCAGCTTGGTATGCATTATTATTCCACCCTATTTCCTTTTCTTCTGACTTGTAAAAGTTATAAGTATAATAGCTTTTGGTTTTATCCTATGTCTCATTTTCTCTCATCTCCCCCAAATAACTGATATGTAAGTAAGGAGATCAACTGTCCTTATAAAACAGTAGTATTGCAAGAAGCAACAATTTCTTTCCTTCTTAGCTTCCAAAGTATCTGCTTTACATTAAATGACTATGATTTTAAAGCCATTTCACTAATTTTATTTTCCCATTCTATATTGACATTGTCTTTAATTGTCCTATTTCTTCTCAAGTAGCTTAACAATGGTAGGTTATTTGGATTTGGGGAGTAAAGTATGAGTTCTTATAATATTCTGAAGAAAATAATCTGTGTTTCTATTTTTCCTGGATCAAGAAGTTACTATCTGGGGCCTCCCTGGTGGCGCAGCGTTGAGCGCTAGGTTGCAAAGCTGCCCACAGCCTCTGCAGCGCCGGTTTGATCCCCAGCCGCTGGGTGAGGGTCCCACATGGCGCGCAGACCTCTCCTGCCACGCCCGCTGCTCCCCTCAGCAGTGTACTTTGGTCCTTCTGCCTGCTTTGCTCCCTGCTCTGACTCTGGTGAATTCTCTCACCCTCCCGCGTTTCTGACTGCACCCAGTGCTTGTATAAATAAATAAATAGATCTTTTTTTAAAAAAAGTTACTATCTGACCATCCTTCTTGTTGCTGACACTCTTCCCTTGTCAACAAACATGTTGATTTCCATGTTCCTATACATGGTTTACAGTTTTAATTCCATTTCCAAATCAGGAATCTTCCTAAAGAAATTATTTTTTAACCCACATGATACGCTTTCATTCTAAAATTTGGCAGGTTTGTAGCAACATTGAACTCATCTTATAGCAGAATAGCACGAGAGCATTTTACACTGCTCATTGTACCCAAGACTCGACAGAAATTCAGTGGCATCACTACTTTATACAAATATAAAGAAAACCACAACTGACTCAAGAATTTGCTCCAGAACATGACTGAGAAAATGACTTTCACCACAGTGTGAACACCTCAGCTAGTACAAGAATGTTACCTTTTCAGAGTGCACGTGAAATGGAAGATTCAAATATTTAAAAGAGTATTTGGATCAGAGTGTGTGGATCAAGCATTTCATCATAAAATCTCTTGAGGCTTATTGAGGTTTAAAAGATATTTTTGTTACATGAAAAAGTTAACTCGGGACAACATACTTGAATAGACAACCTTTTCTTGAAAAATAGTGGAAAAGTGAGTTTTCATGTAGGGGTGAATGATGTCAGTATCTACCATACAGATTTCCTTGTTAGTCTTTGCACACATGTACAATTCAGTGTATCTACACATTTTACTGAGGTCAAAATTGCCCATATATAATTGTATCCCCTTTAAAGAAATGATTGAAAAATACAAATTAAGTTAGCCTAGGTTCCCAAGTATATCAACACACCTATCACCAGTAATATAACATACTTCAATAATAATATTTTATGGCCATTTCCCCACCTGTTCATATTGCAGCTGATGTCCCACAAAACTGGAAATATTGAAAGATCCTTTTAAAAGAATATTTGAAGATCAGAGCCCAAAATGAAGAGGGTAGTTGTTCCATTACACAACACATACTTAGGCAATTTGAGACTGATAGTCCAGCATTTCACTAGGGAAAAATCTATTAATTTAAGGTCAGTCCACCCCTGGGAGATAAATTTTAAAATTTCAAACATTTTAAAGTTTGATTTCCCAAATACAAATCCTAGATTCTGATTATAAAGAAGAATTGAACCCACGATTGCAGAAATGCAAACATTTGGGCAGATATTGATTCTAAAAAGTGAAGGGGCTACCTGTAACTGGATGATGTCAGGTGGATGTTATGTTTGTATTTAATGAATGTAATAGTATCTACTCATGATATTTTAAACTGCATCACAAAATGGAGCACAAGTCTAAGGTTTCTTCTTATTGACTCTTCTCTCAAAATATTTACATGTCCAACAATTAATAGCTTAACCCAAATTTCCAGATTTTAAAATGCCACAGATATTACCATTGCTGTTATATTACAATTGGTTTTTCTGATAATTATTATGCAAAAGTTTTCTGAATTCTTCCATTGATTTATGCCCGTGATATATGTTATTTACTCATGCAAAAGTGGGTATACTAAAATATCAATGCTACATAATATCCTTTCCAAGACATGATTACTATTGGTGTTAAGCAAGTATAGAAAAGAGAGTATTACATCTAACAATTTAAACTAATCAAACAACTCTTCCATAAACATAGCAACAATCCGAGTATAAAAAAGTCTTTGGATACCATAGTTAAGCTTAACCACTTTTTAAAAAGTACTTGTTTCATCAAAGTCCATGGATATCAGCTAGCTATTCTAAAATATCCATATATTGAAAAAGAAGATGCTAAATACGAAATATGATTTGGAAACAGATGATGAAAGCACCAGTTATCAAATCAAGTTACGTTCTAAATGAAGTAATGAATGCTTCTCTATTTACATAATTAACCAATATTTAATGTGGCAGCAAAATTATTGAAGAAACAAATGAAATATTCCAAGCATCCCTACCAAAAAAGAAAACTCACCTGAACAACTCCTAGTTCTTCATTTGCATTTATCTTCTCCGGTATCAGGAGAGGCTCGCTTTTCTCACAGCTCTCCTGGCTGATGAGTGTGTCCGCATAGTTGGGCTGCGGGAAGATCAAGTGACTCTTCCGTGAGTCTGCGGTGAGAGAGACCTCATGCGAATAGGTCTGCAGGAAAGTCCGCACCCCGTCCACGCCCACAAAGTGAGAGGTGGGCAATCCCCCCAATCTGCCTTCTGAAGCCTGGAGCAGGCGAGACATATGCCAGCGCCGCAGCCTGAGCGCCATCAGCACGATGACAAAGGTGAGGAAGACGCAGGAGACGACCGCTACAGCCACCACCAGGTACAGAGTGAGGCCAGAGTCCTCGGGGTCAGCTGAGGGATGGAGGCTGTCCAGGTCAGCCAGGACATCTGGAATGCTGTCTGCCACAGCCACGGTGAGTGTGACCGTCGCCGAGAGCGGGGGCTGGCCATGGTCCTGGACCACCACCACCAGGCTCTGCTTGAGCGCATCTCTGTCCAGCAGGGCCCGCGCGGTGCGCACCTCGCCCGTGTGCAGCCCCACTGAGAAGAGCCCTGGCTCGCTGGCCTTGAGCAGGCGGTAGGACAGCCAGGCGTTCTGGCCTGAGTCTCTGTCCACCGCCACCACCTTGGTCACCAGGTAGCCAGGCTCTGCAGAGCGGGGTGCCAGCTCCACGCCTGTGGAGCCATCTGTGGGGAGGGCAGGGTACAGGATCTCTGGTGCATTGTCGTTCTGGTCCAGGACAAACAGGCTCAGTGACACGTTGCTGCTGAGTGGTGGGTCCCCACTGTCACTGGCTGTCACCAGTAGTTGCAGGTCTCTAACCTGTTCATAGTCAAAAGAGCGCAGGGCATAGAGGACACCAGTACCAGAGTTGACAGAGACATAAGAGGATATAGGTGCTCCCTGGAATGTGTCCTCGGCCAGAGAGTAAGTGACCTGAGCATTGTTGCCACTGTCGGGGTCATGAGCAGACACAGAGAAGATTGATATGCCTCGGGGGTTGTTTTCTGGGATGTAGGTGGAGTAGGAGGTGTGAGGGAAGAGGGGAGGGTTGTCATTGATGTCTGCCACTTTCAGGGAGATAAGGTTTTCTGTAGATAAGGGTGGGTTTCCATGGTCAGTCACAGTGATTGTGATGTTATAATCTGAGATCTCTTCTCTGTCCAGGGCTCTTGTTGTCAATAAATGGTAGTAATTGTCAACCGACTTTTCCAATTTAAAGGGCAAGTTACTGGGGATAGAAAATGAAGTCTCACCATTCTCTCCAGAATCACCATCGTGTACGCTCAACAGTGCAATTACGGTCCCGGGAAGGCTGTCTTCAGAGATGGAACTGGCAAGAGAAGTCAGGATCACCTCTGGGACGTTGTCATTTACATCCTGTACTGTGACCAGCACCTTTGCACTAGTCAGAAGAGCACCTCCATCCTGAGCTACCACTTCCATGAGGTACGATCTGGATTCTTCATAATCCAGGGATTGCACAGTAGAGATTTCACCAAGGTTGGAATCAAGTTGGAAAGTCTCTGAAATTTTGTCTTCTTCATTACGAAAAGAATAAGTCAGTTTCCCATTTATTCCCTCATCTGGATCCGTGGCTGTCAGTGTGAGCAGCCGAGTGCCTACAGGTATGTTCTCTGGAACAGTCACTCTGTACTCCGACTGAGTGAACAGGGGCGCATTATCGTTTGCATCGAGGACCATCACGCGGATGTGCGTAGTACCAGACAGTATGGGGTCTCCACCATCTGCAGCTGTGAGGAGGAGGTCATGAACGGCCACTTTCTCCCGATCTAGGGGCCATTCCAGTACCAGCTCTGGGTATTTCTGTCCATCAGTTCCACTTTTCTCATCCAGAGAGAAGTGCCTATTGGAGCTGAGCTGGTAACTCTGGAGGGAGTTCACACCCACATCAGCATCTCGAGCGAAAGGAAGCACTAACCGTGTTCCTGTAGCCGCATTTTCATTAACTTTTACCTTTACTTCCTCATCCCGGAAACGTGGGAAGTTATCATTAATATCGATTATTTCTACTTCTATTCCATAAATTTTCATTTTTTTCTCAACCAATATGTTAAAACTCACCAGGCACCGCGCGCTCTGAGCGCACAGCTCCTCCCGGTCTATCCTGCCCGCGGTGACCAAGCTGCCGCTCCCCGGGTTCAGAGCAAAAAGCTGCGTCCTACCTCTGGAGACGATGCGGGCTCCGCGCTCCATCAGTTCCCGGGGTTCCAGCCCCAGATCCTTAGCGACGTTACCCACGAAGGAGCCTTTGTCCAGCTCCTCAGGCACGGAGTAGCGAATCTGCCCGCCCCTCGCCCCCCCCAGAGTCCCCAGGAGCACAAAGAGCAGGCGCAGCTCTCTGCAACCCCAACTCCTGGGTGGATCCGCCATTCCCTTGTCGGTGCCCAGTTTTCTTCTAATCCTGGTTCCAGTCTGCTGTTTCCTTATTTCTCCAAAGCCAAGGGGCACGTATTCCCTGATGGAAATGGGGTATGGACGCGGGAGAGCAGCTTTGCCTAAGAGCTTGTCGGGTCTGTGCGTGTTCAGTGCTCAAGCAGAGCCAGATCGCTTCAGCCGCAATTCTTTCCCTCTTTGGTGAACAGCGACGCTCAGAGTCCTAACCAGTTACTACACCTATTCTGTTTTTATTGCATAAATGTTTGATAATATTTTATTTCTAACAAACTTGCTGTGCCCTTAAGGTATTACTGCTTGACATTTTTACATTTAAATAAGCCTTAATTCTGAAACAGCAAAAGACTTCCACAATCCCTGAGATCAATATAATTTTAGATTATTTTTCACTGCTTTAGAAAAATTATATTCAATGTACAATTGAACCTATATCTTTTATTTATCTCACCCACGCACAAAACCATGTCCAGAGACTTATCATTGGGTGGGCAGTGAGTGATATTTCTATAGTGAGACACATATTTAATGTTTTCATCTTCATATGGAAAGAAAAAAACTCTCATGACTAAAAAAAATGACCATTTCAGAGAGACCACTGAAAGAAGCAATTTTAAATTCAGAGGGAATTGAAGACACTCTACATGTATGAGCTGATTTAAAAAATAAAGACTTAAGTAAATAATATTAGTTGCAAAATTTTCTCAATGTAAAGTTTCTCAGAAGACCAATTTGTTACTATGCATGGGAGACATTTGGTGACCATATCTTCCATTTTTTAAACACACTTTTGTTAACAGACACCTCAGGCCTCAATTTTTCCCATCCTTTTAAAATAGACCTGGGATCCCAGGACACTTAGCTTGTACAGATATTGAGAGTGCTGGTTCTCTGTCAGTCCTGCACATGCTCTGTGCATGCATGGCATTGGGTGAAATCCTTCCTTTCTTTGGTTTTCACTTTCCCCAAGTTAGGAGGATGGTGGGTTCTCTTTGCCTTAAAGTTCTACCATTCTAAGCAGAAGTAAACCTAAAATTTGAATAATAATGACCTTGAAAGTGAAAGGAATAGCTTCAGGACCCATAGTAACAAATCTTCAGAGGAAAGGGATATAAAGATGAGGAAAAAAAAGAGTAATATCTCGTGTAGCAAAGACTTGTAATTATGGACAAATGAATCTCACATGTCAGAAGACCTACATCAAAGATTTGGCTAGATAAGATTACCATATGAGACAGAACACTGCCTACATTCGACCGACAAGACAACAAAACGGGAAATGCAGACTTCTACCCCAAGTAGGTAATCTGTTAAAAGACATTAAACCCCAAAGTGCAAATAAGTGAATTAAATAAAGCTCACCTTTAAAATAGTATCAGAGGTAAATGGGACCTCAGCTTCTCCATGATTTGTACCTGGTGCCCAAGAGGCATCTTCGCAGAGTAGATCCCGAGGGGGAGCCACTTCTGGGGTCACATTGAGAAAATTAAACTCTGTCTTAGCTGATTGTGAGGCAATACACAGATTGTAGGAATAGGGCAATGTTCCCTCACTGTAATTGGGAAGAACCCCGGGTCCAGACTTGGAACTGAGACCTGGTTGAAAGCAGCCCCAGGCAGAGGGGCTGGAGGAGTGTCGCAGGCGCAGGGCAATGGCCAGAATCACCGCCAGGAGGAAGAGCACAGAGATCAAGGCCAAGGCCAGCACCAAGTAAAACTGCAGCTCAGCCTGGGGGTCAGAGGGCTCAGGCTGGTCACTGAGGTCTGGCAGGGCCTCCTGCAGGCTGTCAGCGAAGACCAGGTGCAGCGTGGCGGTGGCCGAGAGCGCAGGCTGGCCCCCGTCGCGCACGGCCACCAGCAGGCGCTGTCTGGCCGCGTCCCTGTCGCCCAGCGCCCGCGCGGTGCGCACCTCGCCCGTCCGCAGCCCCAGGCTGAAGAGGCCCGGCTCGCTGGCCTGCAGCACGTGGTAGGACAGCCAGGCGTTGTGTCCAGAGTCAGCGTCCACCGCCACCACCTTGGTGACCAGGTAGCCGGGCTGCGCGGCGCGCGGCACCGTGTCGAAGAGCGCAGAGCCGTCGGGCCCCAGCGCGGGGTACAGCACCCTGGGCGCGTTGTCGTTGCGGTCGCCCACCAGCACGCGCAGGCTCGCGTGGGCGCTCAGCGGGGGCGCGCCCTGGTCGCGCGCCTGCACAGTCAGCTCGAAGGTGCGCAGCTGCTCGTGGTCGAAGGCGCGCTGCGCGAACACCACCCCGCTCTGCGCGTTCACGGACACGTAGGACGACAGCGCCTGGGGGCCCAGGTCGCTGCCCACGATGGAGTAGGACACGCGGCCGTTGGGTCCTAGATCCGGGTCAAAAGCGCTCACTTGAGCAATAGAGGCACCTGGAGGGTTGTTCTCGGCCACGTGTACCGCATAGGAGGCCTGCTGGAAAACTGGAGCGTTGTCGTTGACGTCGCCTATGTGCAGCGTGATGCTTACAGTAGAGGAGAGAGGTGGCTTGCCTTTGTCGGTGACCAGTATGGTAATGTTGTATTCCGGGATCTCTTCCCTAT